CCTTGTCCTGTCCCTACAGGCCCTTGTAAAAAGTCCCCCCCCAGCTTTCTTGTAGCCCCTTCGGGTACTGGAAGGTGCTATAACGTCTCCCCAGAGCCTTCTCTTCTCCAGGCCCAAGAAGAGAACAAGCCCAACTCTCTCAGCCTGTCCCCATAGCGGAGGTGCTCCAGCCCTCTGAGCATCTTTGTGGCCTCCTCTGGACTTGCTCCAACCAGTCAATATCCTTCTTATCCTGGGGGCCCCAGAGCTGGATGTAGTACTCCAGGCGGGGAAATACTCCAACTAACTTAAACCAAAAGAAAATAAAGTTACCTGATTTGTAACCAACAGTTTCTCAGGTTTGTTTTTCAGTGGGTCAATTAGCAAACGGTGATGGATTTCTCATGAGCCTGAATTGCAAATGCCTAGTAGCTGCCTGCACAGATATGCCTGTTGCACAGGCAAAACAAGCATTCATATGGTGTCTTGTGCATGTGGTTGTTGGATCTCAGTTTTTTAATCACATAAAGAAAACTGCAGAAGAATATTTGAAATACTTTCTTTTCTTGTAGAATGGGCCATTCTGTTTCATATGTCTGAAGAGCTTTGGTCTAGGAGTGGCAAAAGCAGTCTAGTGAGGAATGCGTTACCCTTGAGAGAGAAGCTTACACAATGCCATTTGCTTCAGGGCCAGCCTCAGTTCTGAGCTCCCTTCACTGTAGATTGAAAATAGCCACACTGAAAGCAATAGGGCAAGAGAATCAAACTTGGCAAATCTGTCCTAATAATTCCTGTAATACCATCTTGAATGACTAGTGTGTAAACCCTGTTGCAAGTAGGGACATCTTCCTGGTAGTTTGTTGGGGTGGCAACAGTGTAGGCACAGATACTAGGAAGGGTCAAGCTCAAGTCAACAACAGCTGTCACAGGGTCAAAAAAAGTGGATTTTTAAGCCTTGGTTGGTAGCTTGGTAATTCTTGAGCAGTCCAACACCTGCCTCAGTCTCTTGTGTAGTGGAAAAAGCCTTCAGACTATGTGAAACTGTGTTGGTTTTGTCTTTAATATTGTATGACACTGGGAATGCCTGGGACTCCACCAGCATTTAGCCCTGGCCTTACACTATGAGTCCATAAAAGTAGTGCAGGTTTGGGATAACCATCTGTACGGTACTGATCTGCTTGTCCTTTGTGCAACTGTAGACTGTAGAGAGGAGGGATTTAGTATGGTATGTTGTCTCTGTTTCATCATATGGTGAGTGGTCAAAACAATTCCAATAGACTTTATCATATCTGGGTTTTACTAACCATCTGCCTTCCTGTTGTGTCCCTTCCCAGCTGTGTTTGGGACAACAGAAACGCAGCACATCTGCCAGACAGCAGATATTCTGAGGATTGTTCTTGAAAAATGGTTCCATCTGCATTTCAGCAACATCTTGCTGTATTTTTGCATCCTAGAAAGAAACAAAGGTCCTTAGTGAAGCTCTCCATGAAATAAAGGAAGAGAACAAGCTCCTGAAGCAGAAGAATGCCTCAGTGATCAGAAAGAACGAACACTATGAGTGTGAAATAAGTCGTCTCAATAAGGTATGAAGAAAAGTGGTCCACTGACCAGGACCTCTTCCTTTAATTCTGGGATCTCTGTTGTCAAGCAGTGACAGTACCAGATGCTCATCTTTCAGTTCTGGGTGAACAGCCTGTTCATGGTGGCAAATTCATGATCACCATTTGGGAACTGAGGAAACAAGCAAGAACTTACTTTACTTGTACGTGCTGTTCTCAGCAGGTAGTCGGTTGCATTGTAAAGAGGAAAGTTATGAGAATCTTGGGCTTCTCCTGTGGGACCTCTCTAGGTGTCACATCTATGCTCTTACTACATTATCCCTCCTTAGAACAAAAGGGAAATGGCACAAAGATGCTTTCATATGTATCCAGTGAAATGCTGTGATTAAAAAAAATCCAGACAGTTTAAAAACTGTTGTTTTACGTACATTCTGTGTTTGGGAATAATGGCCTCTATTCACAAGAAATGATCCTCTTTTGTGTATATATATTCATACATACAAGTATTATGTGTATATATCTCATTGAGAAAATTGACGTAAAATAACTAAATGGGATTTTTTTAAACTGAGGGAAAGTAATAAATCTAACTTTGTTTAATCAAACGATCACATAAAGCAGTGGGTGTTTTCTAACAATTTTGTATTTCATGGTGAACCACAAACACTTCCTGAGGAAATGCACTGCAGTAATCATTGCTGTGTAACTTTAAGTGATACACAACCTAAAGGGCCATGATGTGCAAAAATCAAGGAAAAAAAGTAATGTTGCCATATTAAAATTTCTGACAGAACATGTGCTCTCTATCTCTTTCTGAAATGCATTAACAGGACTTGCTCGAAGCCTCAGAGTAATTTTCATTCAAGATCTTGTTTGTAAACCAACTTATTTCAGTATTTTATATTGCTGTCTTATCTTCCGATGGGGTTGGAACTGAGACAGATGGGTAAATAGGCCATTCTTTCAAAGGAAACATCAATTTACTGGCTTTCTGTGTATTTGCATCCTCCAGCTCTTGTGTGATGAATGCACGTAAGATGGGAAGAGACCTTCTGAGCCCTTTTACGTCTAGTCCCCTGCTATTTGCAGGTTCAGTGACTTGCAGTTCTTACAAATTCTCCGAAATCAAACTACTTTTTCCTTAAAAATACTTAAGCTCCTTCTCCTGTGCTTCTTTCTGTGAGAAGGCTGTTCTGGAACTGTAACTCTTCTTTCGTTAGATGCTTTCATCTCTTTCAGTTGGACTGAATTTATGTTGGCCAGATGATACTCATTTGTTCTTCTGGTGGTGGTGTCGAACAGATCTGCTTCACTCCTTGTGTGAAGCAGATCCATTCTCTCCATGAAGCACAACTGTCCTCTAGTAAAAACACAATTGCTCTCCGGGGCACTTGCTCTTTCTTATAGCTACAGAGAGCAATTGTGTTTTCTCTAGAGGACATTTTAGCTAAGCTGACCCAGCTCTTTTGGTCTTTTAAAATACAATTATGCCTGCTGATATGCATGTTTTTTCATCTGAGTCATTTAAAACTGCTCAGTTTTCAGTGTACGGAAGATACTACTACTTGTTTCTAAGTACATTGACCTTTTTACTTTTGGCTTCATCTGACTTTGACCCCGTCGTCTGAAGTACCCAAAGTGTAGAGTCTGACCTGATCCTTTGATGTCTGCAGCACGAAAGTGATGTTGCAATGCCATACTAGTTTGCAATGCTATATCCCAAGATTACTGGCTTTCCGGTGGCTGTTTGAGTGTTCACCATATTATTCAAGTACAAGCCACACTTCTGACTTATTTCATAACTTTGGTACAGCGCCACCTCAACTGTTATTTAAACATAGACTAATAAGATCTCATGTATTTCCCCTGATAAGAAAATGTCTTTTTTTATGAAAGGCATCAGGTTAAAGAGTGCTTAACTTAATCCCATTTCTCATGTCTCTAAAGCCATTCTCTTCAAAATTTCCTCCCAAGCCTAACATACACCTGAGGTTAGATTAAGAGGTTTCTAGGTACATGGACCACTTACCCTTTTTGTAGCTTTGGAAACCAAGGTAGTTATTTTTCAGTCATGCAGTTTCATTTTTGATGTTGAAAAATTCAGAACCTCTGTGCTGCTTGTCTTGCAGTTTCAGGTTTCAGTTCTCAGTACTTCTGAATGAATGTTATTTAACAGCACATTAAATTAAGCTCAGTTTAACTCAGTCAGCTGTGAGTTTTCTCATTGGTACACCATCCTTGCTGTTAGCCATCCTGCCACAGTGCTAGACAGTATTTCTAATAAAGAGGATAAAGTATTTAGTCTTGCTTTTCTGTGTAATGACTTCTTTTACTCATTTTTATAGTGGGAAAAATTGAATTTATAGTTACATGTATGTATTTTATAGTTTAATTTCTTTTGCAACATACAGCTCAATGTGACTGTCTCTCTGACCCTGCACTTTCACCTAAAAGCACCCGAAATTGGTGGCTTTTGTTGGGATGAAATGCTTTCTCCAGTCCCTAAGGTCATATTAATTTTTCTTCTTTAAATTATTAATCTAGCTGTCTCTCAAGCATTTTCCTATACATTTTTTTTTCAGCTTCCTTGAGATATGATTTTCTGAGTGGTTGGTTTGTTTGGGGTTTTTGTACTTTGAACTTTAATGAAGTAGGAATAACCAAATGATCTGAAAAAAATAGCGTACGGGACCAGTTATATAAGGTGCCTAGAAGTTGTATGTCATTTCTTGGATTTGCTGATTTGAAGTTACCAGTCTTAGTTACAGAATTAAAATAGCTTATTTACTTTTCCTTTCAAGTGTCTCATGATCATTTGAATCACTGTTTTTCCTTAAAACCAGTGAAACAGTAATATCTTCATTTCTTCCATAAATTACTCTAAACCAGCCCCACCTTTTGTCAGTTTAGAGTGATGGGAATTTTGAAAGAAAAATATTCCAGCTACATCTTTGCCTATTAGCTTTAGCAGTGTTTAGTTTCCTTTTTATACTTAGGGATCCAAATGTCCTATAATAAATAATTCTCGATAATTTGCTATTGATCTAATAGCAACACTATAAAATTTTACTTTTTTTCTTCCCATCCCTAGCACCTCTCAATATGCCTTTTACAATCTTTGAGGGAAGATTTTGACCTGGATTTTGTATGACCCTAAACCAATTCAGCTGTAGTCATGCTGCAGTTTCTGGTTTTTATTTGACATGGTAAAAGGGGATCCCACAGTATTGCTTCCAAATTGTTTTTAAAAAAATCCTCAACTTATTTTTCTCTACCGTTAACCTTTTGAAGATTGAATTTTCTGGATTTTTCTATTTTTTGTTCCCTAATTCTGAGATGTAGAACCTCCTCAAAAAAACCCAAACCAACCAATAAACAAACAAAAAAAACCCTCAAAAACCTGAAGAATTGCCCAAATACCTAATATATCTATATTTTGATATGATTCTATGAAGTTAGCTGCAAGAAAAACTAGTCAGTATAGTGATATTTGTTTGAGAATTAGGAGGACTGCCAACAGCTTATGAATATACATACTTGAATTGTAAAGGTGTGTTACTATTTGGTAATGTCAGAATGACCATGATTCTAGTGAAGGAGTTTTAACAGACGACAGAGCCATACGAAATGTGAGTGCAGCAGGTGTCTGGGAAAATCATGTGTTGTGAAGGCAGCAGGACACTTGGTTATCTTTGGATTAGGGCATCTGAAGCACTTCCTTTTGAGGCTGGTCAAGTATTAGAAGGGATTGCCTGGAGAGGCCATGAAATTGCCCTCCTTGGAGGTGTTCAACACTCAGTTGTTGCAGGCCCTGAGTAAGTTGACCTCCCTGGCCCAGCTCTGAGCAGAGGCTTGGACCTGCAGAGGTCCCCTGCCACCCAAATGAGTTTTGTGATTCTGTGGTTGTCAGCAAGGTAAGAGATGTATCACACACAGGCAGTGGGAAGAAGAAAAGCACATTTCATTCGTCTTTGTCCTCAGCAGTATGCTTAACAAACCACACGTCTGGGAAAGGATCTGGGTTGGAGGCAGCCAGGGAACGTATCATATGTACTGCGATATGGTCAGACTCAACCAGCTCTTGCTGCTGGTGGTGATCCATACCTCATCTAAATGCCACTGTGAAACTTGGGGTTTTTTACTTGATTTACTGTTTGTGCAGGGTGTTGCAGTGTGGCTCAAAGGGGCAAAAGGAGGATTAATCAGTAAGCTATTTGTATCTTCATCCTCCCATGTTTATGTTCAACTTTATTTATGTATTGACAGGACACACAATCTCTGCCACTATTACACCAGTTTCTCTTCTGCACAATTCTTAGGGACAGAAGCTCATCAGATTAAAAAAAAGCTCAATTTTCTCTTCTGTGCTCTCCATGGAAAGTGCCTTTTCTTTTTGTTTTTTTTTGGTTGGCCTTTTGATCATTAATACTAATCCTTGGGTTACTTTAGATAGGGGTTCTCCTGCTTAGGCACTTTATCCTCTGCCTCTTCCCCCTCCAAATTATCTTCCCTCCTTCCCTTATGGCATGAATGGAGTGTGGCCAGCAAGGGAGAGGTGGGGATCACTTGCAGGAATTGAACTTTCTAAAATGAATGAAGCTAGCTGAGTCCAATGTGAGAGACATTGAAAAATACTGAATATTGAGTATTTGTGCTTGAGTAAGGAAAAAAAAAGCCAACACAAACCAACAGTGTAGCATGTGGTTATAGACAGAGAGGGGTAAGAGTGATTTAAAATTATTCCAGTCCAAGGGAGAATTGTGTAATACTGTTGAAAATAAACAAAATTTGCAAATAACTATGGCAGAATGTGATTGAAAAATAGAGTAAGAATGTTACCAGTGTACTGTGTGTATTCATAACTCCCCCTAGTGACAAGCTGTAGAGACTACATAGCCTCTTCTCAACTAGAGGGTTTGCTTTGGTTCGGATTGAAGAAATGTGTACTCAGTAAAAAAAATGTTTCAGTTGGACTTCACTGGAGTCACATTTTTAGGACATCTTTGAGTATTCCTTCCATGTTCTTGAGGTTTTTTTGTTTGCTTTGGTTTTGGCCTCAGCGGAGTTCAGACACCTGTCTTTGTTTACCCAGATTCTGACTTGCACAGGGACATGGTGTTTTGAATAAGAATTGCAGCTGTGATTTCCATAGGTAAATGTTGGTTATAGGTACAAGTAAAAGCACAGTCCCCTAAATGACACACTCTCAAATTCATGGATGTATTGTGGACTCTTTGAAAATTTGGACTTAGTCATGCATAAGTTATTCATGGGGTTTATATCCAGTGTATATAGTTGCAGCAACTGCAAATGAAGGGGAAACCTCCAAAAGTTTTTGACTCACTCTAATCTGTTTATTTAGAGAGCAAACATTCTAATAGTTTAAAAGGGATTTTTTTTTACTATAGTAAATCTCTGTTTAGTAATTTTGCTCTTTGACATTGCAGGCCCTTCTGGATGTGTTGAAAAAGCAGCCCTCAACTGTTCTTGGTGCTCCTTCAGAGAAGTGTGACAAGAAGAGCCTTGAGGACATGAGAATCCAACTTGAAGTTCTCAGACAGCAGGTGAGAACAGCTGGAAGTAAGCCTGGATGGATTTTGTAGAGCATAATTTTGCCCTCTCTCAGGAATTGTGCCTGGTAGGCTTGCTGTGTAGGAGCTGTAGCCCATTCAAATGGTGTTTCTTAAGATGCTGTCATCACAGCAGTGTCCACAAAGTGAAACTGAGTCCTTGCGTAGGACTGGAGCAAGGGCTTGTGTAGGGCTTGAAGCAGCAGAATGTCTCTCCTCACTCTTGGAGACATCCTGCCAGCTCTCTGCTCTCCCTCTGAATTTCATCCGGAGGGAATGCTAAACTTGAGTTACTGATTGTGTCTTCTTTTTTAGAAGGTGAAGATTTAGTGAATTAACTAAGAATTCTAGTCTTGGAAAACTAGAGTGTTGGCACTGCAGTTTTTCAAAGTGTGAGACAAAACATTTGCATCTGTAACCTGCATACTAATCACTATACAGAAGTGGGGTTTTGGTTTTCGTTTTTAAATTTTTGTTCTGAGCAATTCAAGTGTTTTGTGCACTCTTTTTCTTTCCATATGAAAGAGTCTGTTTAAAAACATGATACTTTTCTGATAATCTTCCATTTTAGATCTATCATCCTGGACAGTGTTAGGGTTAACATTATTGACACACAAATGGATATGATCAGAATGGGAATTTTATTCAGTGGGAATAAAATACTTGTTTCTGTCACGTTTGACGGCAGAGCCAGATTTTGCTCTCTAATGTAATGCTTGCCACATGCTGGAGAATAAAATCCTGCACTGGATTGTACAGTAATGAGTTATTTCATTCTACACAATAAAATAGAGTAAACCAATTTTTTTTTTTTCAGAATTCTCATGGGGTATCCATTTTATGAATGTCTTCCTAGTTGTATAAATCAGTACAGTGAGTCCAGACTTCCTTTTGCACGAAATGGAGCAGAAAGCTCTAACTCTACGGAGGAGGGACTCTTGGGACAAACAGCAATGTCAGAGTCTCACCAGAGCTTGGCTGTCACCAGTGCATCCCCGGCCACAACAGAGGAGATGAAGGCATTCATTCCATGGGAGGTGTCCCGCTCTTTGTCAGAGCAACAGAATAGATGGCAAAACTGTGACAAAGTGGTTCCCTTGCAGCTTCAGCAGCTTGTACAGCTGGGAGGGAGGTGGGACAGCAGGGAGGGAATCAGGAGGGAAGAAATGAGGAAATACTGAGGAGCGAAGTGTGTAAATGGACAGGGACACGAGAGACCTAGATTGCTGTAAGCAACAGCTTTGCCTCTGCTTCGGAGGGTCAGGGGAGTTCATGTCTCCTCTAGGCACAGGCTGTGGGGCTGAGTCACCTCACGGCCACACAGACAGCTTTTGCTCCTTTTACATGGTGTTATTCAGGAAGGGGGCTTTATCTAGTGGGAGACCATCGGGTCTGAAAAAAACTTGCAAAAATTAGCTGCAACAGGCAAGTCATGAAAATAATTTATAGAGCCCTGTGTTGACTTTTTTCTTCCCCTGAGGTATTAACGTTTCATTAGTTCTCCTGTGAAGTCATAGTGCTGCTGCCAGCAAAAAGAACACTGGATCTGTATGACAGGCAGGGCATGAGCCACAGTGAGCAAGCTCTTTGGAAACAGACTGTCAGTGGGCTTTAGTGACCAACCAAGAGGACATGGAAGGACTTCTGGAAGTTGTGGTGGTGTTTCTCACCCCAACGTGCTTGTGCTGTTAGGTGTCAGTAGAAATGCCACCAACCTTCAGCTTCCTACCAGGAGGGTGCCTGCCTGTTAGCTGAAGAATTAAGACAGTCATCTTAACACCAATTAATTTACAGATTTGTGTTTTGCTTCTGAATCTATGCACTCATTGCCTGTGCCTGGGGTGGCCAGATATTTTTTGATGGAATAAAGCGCTGTGATGCCTGGTGACATGAAAAGAGCTAAGCCATTGCATTCTTTATTTGAATGGCAGCTTATCTTCTAGGAACAGGATCAAACCTCTGTATTTGCATTTTGAATTGTGTACATAACGATTCTCTCTGCTTCTACACTGGGGCAGGTAGGTTTTTGGTGCTGCCCTTTGAGAGCACGAAGTAGAAGTCCTGCATTGCAGGCTAATATGTGACCACGGCTCTAAATACTATCACTTACTCTGTGCAGAGGACTCCTTTGGGCCCACTTTGGTTCAACAGTTACTGCAGGGTGTAAGGTAAAGCTGCAGACAACTATGAAAAGGCATAACGCATATCGGGCTCAAGGCCAAGGGTATTGGGTGGGCTATAAAAAGGCAGGATGTTATTTGATGGTAGAGGCTCATCATTAGGCTGGACAAGGTGATAACTTTCTGTCAGACTGCGTGCTAGCAGTCAGTCTTTATGTGCTGTGCCAGCCCTTCCCATCTCCATGATGTTAGCTGCTTGCATCTGAGATATAAGAGGGAGTTAAAAGTGCTCATAATTGTAGGCAAAATGTTTGTCCTGATGCTCTTTCACTCTGAAAAAGATCAATGTCTTTAGTATTTGCTATCTTATTTATAATATTTAAAACTGATATCCACCACTCAGCCTTTTAAATTACAAGGATCTAAGAATACTGAAGCTGTGGACCATTTTGATTCACAGGTGCCACTGGAGAATAGCCACTGATAGTCATTTTTTATTGGCCGTAAAAAAGATGAGGGAAGCTTTTGGTTGTAGGATTGTATAGGTGAGGGATCCCTTTGGAATGCTCCCTGCTCCTTGGCCAGTGTTTAAAAAGCAACCAAACAGCAAAGTGGATGAAAAGTTCCATTGTGGCTCTGCTAAAATTGAAATGGTCGTAATGATTGCAGGTACAAATATATGAAGAAGACTTCAGAAAGGAGAGATCTGACAGAGAAAGGCTTAATGAGGAGAAAGAAGCATTGCAGAAAATTAATGAGAGATTGCAGTCTCAACTGAATAAAGTAAACTCTCAGGTATGAGTCAAAAGAAAGCTACCGTTGCCAGCACACGTGTATTTTATTTTTATTTTCTCACTTTCTGCACAACCCAAGGCTTTCTGGCTTCCATTAATTGACACTGGATTTTATATGAGGTCATCACCTGGGATGAAATCATTCTGAAGTAATGCAGTAAGAAGATGAGAAATTATTAGAGATGACTTCCAAATTAAGTAGATGAAGGGAGTATTTATTGCAAAAACACTTCAAACATATCTTAAAATGGAGTGGGGGGAACCAAAAACAAATCCAGAGGACTGTTGATTGTTTCACTGGCACTTGATATAAGGGTTGTAACATCAAACCAACTTTTGAAATAAAAAGCTTCTGTAATTAATCCTGACCTCAGCAGTGAAATTACAGAGTAATGGTAATATCACTGAGGGAAAAAAAAGTCTCCGTCCAAATTAGCTGAGCAGCCGCTGCAATAGTTTTTTATTGCAACATCCTTTTTATCTCTTCACAGCAGTGTCAGTACTCTGTTCACAGACATTCAGGAAGCCATAGTAAAATCATGGCATGCAAAACTGAGCTTTTTCAAACCCCATTTAAAAATGATGAAATTTCGAGGTTTCCCCTCTGACAAAATTGTGCAATGTTTTAAAAGAATAACCGATTACCAAAATGTCCTGTGAGGATTTATTGTCCTTCCTAATGTTGTTGTGAAACAAACTTCAGTACTGACTTATTCTCAGCCAACCCATGCATCGGTACTACTAGGGTCTTGCAATAGTATGGGAGACAAGGTGCTGTCGAGCGTCTCTCACTCCCATTGGCTTCAGTGAGAGTGGAGAATAGTTTGGGCATTCTGGCTGATGCTTAGCACTGCGGCACTAAGGCCCCAGGCTTGTGCTTTTATGGCTACTTGGAAGCATTTCATGCAATTCTAAAAATAGCTATGCCATGATTTGCTACGCAGGGCATCCCAAGCATATTGAAATGCCATGGACAAATCTGTTAGCGTTGCATGCAATAACTTTCAGGTGTATTTCCCATACCCATCAGCCAACTCCTGGGTGGGTCAGTAAGGTAAAGGAATTTTTGTAGGAGACAGAGCGCTCAGACACCTTCTTCCTATATATTTTTGCCTTGTTTAGAGACTGTAAAAGGTTAAATTTCTTGCACAAGCCCAACTGATCAATGGGCTCTGTGAGAGGTGGCAGTGAAGAGAGGGTCTACAAATGGGACTAAAAGGCTTTTCCTGCCCCTCCCCAGCCACTCTGGACCAGGAGAGATGCCAACAGCAGCGCACGTGTACAACATACCTGTGAAGGGCTGTACAGGTGCTGTGTATTGTGTATGTACAACTTGACTCTCCCTCCATTGCATTGACAGTTTACACGAGAGATGATCTTCTCTCTTCCTGTTCTTCACAGAGCTTGTGGAGGATTTTAAACATGAGAGGAACCATATAGAATACTCGCTGGTTTGTTTCTTCTGGAGGGTTTCTTTCCTGCTGCTTTTTTTACTGCTGAATTTGTATGTGAATATTCTTTTGGTCATTGTATCCTGCTGCTAATGCATTTATTCTTGCTTTTCTTATTTTTTGACAGGCAAAAGACCTCCCGGTACAGTCTGAGAGGCCCAGCTGCCCACCTCCACTCTTCCTCTCACCATGTGTTAATTATGGGAGTTGTGGGTTGGTTCTTCATTATCAAGATCCTCGAGTATGTCCAGTATCTCGCAGGGCACATGAGCAGCAACAGCACTCAGTAAGGTTCCCACCATCTCCCGTTTCACAAGGGCACTGATCTTCTCACAGCATGGTGACCACAGGAGAATAACCTGGTGTTATCACAGTGCCATCCTCACCAGTAGCTAAATCTCGTTTCCTAGTTTGTTGTTGGTTCCAGACCAAGATTTTGTACCGGTGTTAGAATTAGCTCTAGGTCTGGAACAACTTTGGTGATCTCTGCACGGCCTCTCTTCCCTTACCATCTTCCCCAAAATGCTGGTTTTCCTCTTACTTCTGTTCTTTTCTTTCTTGCTGTTCCAGTGTCTTCAGTACTGAATTGCACAGAGTGCGCATCAAATCATAACCAACAGAAATCTGTGCACAGAGGAAAAATTAGAGCAATTTAAATATAGGGTTTAGAGTTATACTTTAAGTATATATTCTTATGTATTTTAGATTTACTTTGGCAAATACTATTTATCTGTAATGCCACTAAGAAGTAAAAGGGGATTATTATACATTTGTTTTGAATAACTCTGGTGCTCATTCCTTAATTAAAAAAGCAAGATTGTTTGATTTGATTCTTGCTGATTTCTTAGATTAATTTACTTCACGACACACATTCAGAACTCCTTCTAGCTATATGGTTACCCAAATTCGTGAATATGGATCTGCTCTCAGGAGCCAAGTCCTGGGCCGTCAACATAGATGGCTGTAACAAAAATGAGGATGTATGTAGCTGTGGTCATCATTAGTCTGGTCTCTTCCCTCTATTTGGTCTAAAAAAGCTTGTTGACAAATATGTCTTATTTCCATCTTTTACACTGGGTGTTTCCTTCTCTGGCCCTGTTCTTGGGAAAAGACTTTCCTCCTTCTTTGCTTATGACTTCTGTATTCCATAGGTAATATAACTGTCCTGCCGTCAGGCAATAACACTGCAGCCAGACTGCCCAATCCCAAGTTCCCCATATGCCTTCTGGGCAGGCACACAAGCTCTCGGCAGGATTCACAATGCTGCTATTAAACTGTAAGGGCGAAATCCTGAATGCTGTTGGTTGTACCCAGTAGTACCTTCTCTCTGGCATGCTGCTGGGAAACGGGCTTAAGTGAGGAACAAGGTTCTGCTGAGGATGACACTCTGGCTGTGACATGACACAGCTTGCGATTTTCCCACGCAAGCCTGTGTATGGCAAAAAAGAAATAAAATAATCAGCAGAAGTGGAAGTTATATCTGAGTGGGGCTAACGCAGTGAGAAATTTTTCCTTTTTCCTGGCACACAACACAGTCCTGCCTTCCTCGGCATGAAGAAGAAAAGCTTTGCACTAGGGCAGGTTGTGTGTGTGTGTTATCTATTTCAACGAATATACTGCTTCAGAGGATTATATTTTAAGTGCTTGGGGTTATCAGTAAGTGGGCTGTGCTTGTTCAGATCTAGTGAGAATGCATTTAAACATAGTGAGCATCATTTTAAATAAACAGTATCTGTTTCTGGCTATAAAGCTGTCACATATGGAAAGATGCTCATTATTTGAGAAATTATAGCTGAACTTTTGCAAAATGTATGTAGTGCTTTCAGACTGTAGAAATTCAGCAGAAAAGCTGTGGTCAAACAAGTAATTTCTGTGCTTCAGGAGTGTGCTTATCTGCCTATTTATCAGAGCTGGAAGTATTGCAGAATGTTTTTTCACTGCAATTTGGACACTGTCCCAGATTATTTTGGCTCTTCTCCCTGAACTTTCATCATCTGGGTTTCTAATTCTGCAAGGGTTCACTGGGTTTACAACTTTGCCATTCCTGCCGGAGCACCGAGGTCAGTTTGACTGGTTGCTTTGTAACTCCCAGTTTCATTCTGAGTTTTCTTTGAAATTCTTTGTTGGTGTGAGCGCAGTGTTGCTGCTCGGGGCTTGTGATACCTCCCTGAGCAATTTGTTTAGCAATGAAGGAAGGTGTTAGAATTTAATGAGTGTCCTGAGTTAAAGTACGCAATACTGTGTGTTTAGTCTCTGCTTTTGCTTTTACTTTTCTTTCTTTTTACATCTTGCACCTTTTCTTTCCTTTTTCCATTGTTAGTAGAAACATTTTCTTTAGTCTGACATGAAATACACCTCTTGTTTCTGAAATTCATTCTTTTGCATAGTGTCAGTACATACGAAAGGGAAAAGTGGATCAGAGAACAGAAAACTTCAACAGAAACTCAAAAAAGCAATGCAAATAAGTGTATTTTGACCCATCAGTGGAAAAACTACCTGTGCTTAAAGCAAAGCGGTGTCTTGCTTTGTATCAAAGCCTATTTTGTTTGCCCACAAGCAGAGAATTGGTTAATTCCTTTGGATGGTATAATTTAAGTGAAAATGGGATAGCTCCTTTTTTCCTGACAGTCTGAGAGAGCAATTACTGCTACGTAACAAAGAATGACAGCATACATAGAAGTTACATTTATTTTCTGTATGTATGGCTTCATCCTGCCACCTTAATACAGCGAAAAACTTATTCTGAAGCCTATGAAATTTCTTCCCTACAAGTTGAAATCTGTGTCTCCTTGGGTTTACTCAGGATTTTGTCAGAGTAATTTCTGCTAAACGTGGATGATTTTTCCAGTTTAACTAATTTGAAGCAGTAATTACCTGGAATTTGACAAGCTTGCATGTACTACTTAAACCAGATAGGGAGCTTAATACCACTTCAACTGAAATGTCTGCTCCCAAAATTGTTTTCTCTAGTAGTAATTTGCTACTCATTTACCATGGTGTGTGGTATAAATTATAATGCAGTATTTCTTTCTTCCAGGATTTCCCTGGACAAAACTCTGTTTGCGTGGACATAAATTTTTCCCATCCCGCAGTATTTTCAAGAAGTTGTTTGATAAGAGCTAATGCTATAGTAACACTAATGCTAACCTATGGGGAAGGGAGGAGGGGAGAGAACTTTATTAAATGGGTTATTCCTGTCACACTGAAACATGTTACAGATGTTGCACATATTCAGACTGGAACAGCTTCACCTGTCAGGGCGATGTGTACCAGGTTTAGTACAGAGAATGTGATGCCTGCTAGTATCTTCTGATGCACTTTATGCCTTAGACCTTTTAAAATCTGATTTGTTTTTGTTAATGTTTCTTTTGATTTGTGGGATCTAGAAAGGTTTACACCAATATTTCTAATCAGTGCAGCATCTAAACCACGTGTCGTAAAAAAGGAAGCAAGCTGAAAGACTCAATCGGTGGAAATAAAAAGCTAAATATAAGATCTTTTTGTAAACTACTTTTGTATGACTAATAAAAAACTTCACAGCACAATTATATTTTTATCATGTCACTATTCTTTTGTTTGAAGTGTCTATTAAGTCCATATTGCTGTAATAATGTTTTATTGTTCTGTGCAGCCAGAGTATCAGTGGTATGTTCCTGACCAGCTTCCGCCAGATGTGCAGCACAAGGCAAATGGTAAGACAACAGCTGTACAGAGCATATTTTAAATGTACTTTTTTTTAAATGGGGACCTTTGAGGGATGTAGAGTAAACCTTCCTATTCATCTGTTGACTGCTTACGTGACAGCTTTGCCTTAGAGAGCTGAGGTTGGTGTATGTGCAACACAGGTGAGCTTTCTAATGCAATACCATCTACATTACAGCTTTCAGCTTCGTTGCAATTCGTAAAATGTCTCTATTGCACATTATAGGATCACACATTTGCCTCATTAAACACCTAGTAGTAGTCCTGTAGAAAAGATACCCTCAGAGTTGTCCTTAGAGCTTCTGTTGCTATAGCTAAGACTAAATCTAATGATGTGCCAAACCTGGGGGCCAATATGAGGTCTTAGAAGTCCTTGGTAACAAAGTACAGGCTTTAGGATGTTGTTTCACGTTAAAGGTGAAATGCCCATTGCTACTCTTGGTCTGTTCTGATAGTTCAAGGTGCCAGGTCTGAAAATAAAACCATGTAGATGGACAAAGTTAATTAGTGGCTAAACTGCTGGTGCAAACTATCTTTTTGAAACCAGGAGGAGTATTTATATTTCTATCTGGATCTGAAATCATGGCAAGTTCCTGGGTGTTTCTAAGTACTTGTTTCAGACCACTCAAAAGATGGGTGCCAGAGAGCACAAGGAAGAAGGCATGTTGTCCTGTGTGGGAATCCGACCCTCTGGATTTTCTCCTTCAGAAACTACCCCAAATCACCCTTTTTCTCTCAAAAGTGGTTGAGAATTATGGCTCGTACAGTTTTGTGTTTTGGGCTGTTCTCTTGTCTCATGGCCCTTTTGTAGAAAGACCATCTCAGATGAATGACACATCATCCTGTGTTGCAGGAGGACCAGCAAAGCTTGCTGGTGTGCACGGCAGGAGTGTGTGTGCTTCGTGTGTCTGCCGTTACACGGTGCGAGTGGGTACCATATGGAGTGGCCGGGCCTCATCACCAAAAGCTGTTTTGTAACATGCAGAAGATGATGATGGGTACAGAGGAACTATTCCGTTGTTTATTTTCCTCCACATTTGCACAGAAGAGAGGGCAGGGTGGGAATGTTGTTCGTGGAAACGGAGGATGAACTTCCCATAATTATATGGCGACTGTTTGGAGGGTTCTGATGTGGTTGTAGGATGCAAGAGAGGACAGGAGATTAATTTTGTAGTTCCTCCCACTTAAACTCAAAGTGATTTACAGCACCAGAGAATAGAGGGAGGATGTTTATAAGAGTGAATGAAACAAGTCCGGCCACCAACTGCAGCTGTGGTCCAGAGCAGTACACTTAGGGGACATGAAGAAAGAGGGTTGTTTTACCCTGCCTGATTATGTGACTTGACTTCTGGCTCCCTAAAAACCTGCTTTTAAATCTGTGCTCTGTCTTTCTATAACCATTCCTTGTCCAGAACATCCAAATACCCCCTTCTCAGTGGGACAGTGCGTAGGATGCTTGGAGGCTTTTTCCTTCTCTATTTTCTTCAGTCCCCATAGAGAGGAATTCTCAGCAAGTCCCATTATAGAGCTGTGTAGGATGTCTGCTTTAACATCTTTGGGGCTCTTATTATTTTTATCTTTGCTGATAAAACAAAGATTATTTTATTAACCATTGATCACAGGGAAGTCAAGCTTCTACTGTCAATTAAAGGGCAGTGGCTTGGGTTTGTGTATTATATATAGTCACCTATATTAAACCTGCATTTAAGTGTTTTGAGAGAGGTTTCAAAGATAGAAACTCCAGGAATACGCGATTAAAGTATTCTTGATGTTCCTATTTCAGTGTTCTATTTTGTATGAGTGCTAATTACAACAGAGGGTTTAAATGAGGTAGTGTGTGCAGCAGCATTACCGAGTCCCATTTCTCATCTTTCATTTCCACATTAGGTGATAAACTGACCACTAAATCTTACCTCTTCTGAGATAGGGCTTCATTATAGAATGAAATAGCAGTGCAGCAACTTCTAGGCATGAGGCAGTTTCCTTTAGGAATGCTATTTCAGTGGATTCATGTTTCTAAGGAAAAGCCTTAAATTCTCCTTAACTGAGCAAATTTTCCTTTGACATGGGGTATTTTTTCCTAATGAATAATTAAAAATAGAGTTCACAGGTTGTAATTTTAGAGCTGAACAAAAGTGAAAAGAATAGGGAAAGTGATATTTTTTATGATATACCATAAAACCCCCACCTTTTTTAAAGTTATCTGAAATCTGTGAGAATCTCTACATGAACTCTAACTAGTTTGCTATAATGTCTTTGGGACTGCAAAGGCATGTTGTCATCAAGGAGGAATTACTGGTTTTTTCTGCAGTTTTGTGTAGATGTAACTAGACTGTGTTTTCCTTCCTCTCTCCCCTCCTTTGGGAGGGAGAAATTTATTTCCACCCAGGTGCTTTGGCATTTGACTTGGGTTCTCCAGGTCCTTCGGTAACCAGCTCTAATCTCATGTTTTCTGCTTCTCATGTAACCGTATCTGTACTTTTCTTCTGACTGGCACCACTTTTCTTAGCTGCTCCCGTGTTCCAAGAAGACTGTCTTAAAGGATGGCTGCCTCTGTGAAGCCTAGTCTTTTTCTTTTCTGTAAGAAACAACTCTTTGCATGTATGTACAGAATAATCACTGGGGTTTGGGTTTTTGTTTGTTTGGTTGGTTTTTAATCCGCTAAAGAAATTTGATCAATCCTGTTTTTCAAACTTTCTGCTCCAGTCCGTTATCTTCCCCACAGATCTTTGTTTTAGTAGTTGGCAGAGGATCACATGCACAGGTTTGAGAAGCAGTGTTGCCTGCCGCATTGAACTTTGATGGTAGTGTGATGGTTTGGATCTGGCACCTTTTGATTTGATCCCTTTCTAATTAGCCGGGAAATAATTTCATCAGAATACAGGAAGGATGAGAAGAACAGGGGGTAAAATGGTGTGTGTAGGGATCTTTGTTTTAGTAGTTGGCAGAGGATCACATGCACAGGTTTGAGAAGCAGTGTTGCCTGCCGCATTGAACTTTGATGGTAGTGTGATGGTTTGGATCTGGCACCTTTTGATTTGATCCCTTTCTAATTAGCCGGGAAATAATTTCATCAGAATACAGGAAGGATGAGAAGAACAGGGGGTAAAATGGTGTGTGTAGGGAACCTTTCTTTCTGAAATGAGAATGAACAAGAGATGCTCCATGGTAGCAAGACAATGGTAATTATATAAATTAAACCCTTGCAATTTAGCTTTATGGAGAAAGTGAAGCTAAAGGGAGCCTCTAAGATTACAGCTATGAAATACGGCTTTAGGCAAAAGCCCTGTGTCCATTCAGAACTTGGAGGAATGAACACCACTTGTTACTTAATTAGGGCTACATCAGCTCCCTCGTTCCCAAGAAATTTGTCAGTTAAGTGAGGTTCAGCAATGTGCCGAGCAGTCCTCGGTTCTTTGACTACAGCACCTCAGAGCTAACCTACTTTTCTTGTTGGTGAAGTAACCTGTGGCTAGACTTTCTAGGTACCATTTAAGGACTTAATCCTACTGAAAAGAGCATCAGGAGTTGGTTTTAGCACTCTACCTCTCTGTTTTACAGCTACGTATCTATGGATCTGGATGAAGAGACGGGTCTTGTAGCCCTTGTGGTACATAAGGCTGAAGTTGCTCTATAGGGGTAGACAGTTATTCCCAGGGTTGCCACAGGCTGGCTGCTGCGGCTTGAGAGACCAGTCCTCAGCCTTGAAATCACACCGGCATGCCCTCGAACACAGAGTTCACGTTGTGTGGTGCAACCACATGCAGGAGTATCTGATCCCTGCCTTGGTTCATGCAGGGCATGGAAATGGGATGGTAGGAGTGTGTGTGTATGAGTATGTGGACGCGAGCAAACACAACTATCAATCCTGGTATGCGTGTTCGATTACTGAGCATTTTTACTTCTCTGTACGCCTGAATAAGTAAAATGAAAACTATGGGCTGTATGTAGACATTCTGGCATCCAGGGAGTTATTCTATGGATAAGACTTGCCTGTTCTTTGTATTTTCGTAATCAACATTTACGATATTTTAATTTTTTTAAATTTGTCCACAGTTGCCCACAGTTATTGTTGTTTTCTTTAACCAGAAGTTGATGATCCCCCCTGGCTGCATAAAGCCACTCAGATTGTTTTTAAAAACACGTCTCTGGCTTTAGGATGTTTACTTAAAAGTTAACAACCATTCAGGCCCCTCTGGCTTTGGGACCCTGGAAGTGGTTTTAGTAAGCTTCAGAGGTTGAAAAACACAGCCTCTCCACTGGTGAGCACGGAGACAACTTTGACCTGCTGAGGGTTGCATGGGACAGCGTAAATTACTAACCATGTAAAATACAATTTTCCAAAAAGGATGGGGAAAAAAAATTCTGTCCTCGATGATGTGTGTAGTGGGTCGATTTATTCCACACCCTTGCAATTGCACATTCACAGTGTAACAGGTACTAAAGGCACGCCCATGGTTTGGGGTGGATTTCATGCCAGGCTGCACTGCAGGATGCAGTTGCCTGCCATCTCTATGTCTGCATGGCCACAGGAAGGCGAGGGTTTAACCCCATGGTTCTCCTCCTGCTCCTTCATGCTGCAATCTCATCAAAAGTTCAGTTTTCCATGCCACCGCTGGGATCTGAACTGAATCCAGAAATATACAATAAGCGGTTTTCAGAGAGGAGGGTGTGGGCTTCATTCAGGTTTATTGGTCTGATTTTATTAGCATTTTCTTCCCGTTTGTATCCAGAAAGTTTCATGTTGCACCTCTTGTTAAATTGCTTAAAACCTCAGATAACTGAAACCAGAGTTCAGCTTGTCTGTGAACAGAAGTATTTCTTT